TATCAAGCATGGGGCAAACTGGTTAGATGATCTGAAGTTAAAATACCAGCAACATTTAGAAAAAATGCAGGTCTACTTTTGGTTCACAGCAAATAAATGAAATTGGTCAGAGTTTGGGTAAGATCAGTGTATAGTGAAGAAAAACTGGCAGAGACTGCCTATGGTAGGGCAGAGAAAATAAAAATATTTTTAAGAACTTGCAGTAATGGGGCAGTGTCCTTTTGCCACATATGCAGTCAGAATAGACCAGTTCATTCTGTGTAGTTCTAGGAGGGTGCCTGAATTTTGTATTGTGTCTATGCTTTCATATAGTAGCATCTGTATTTTCATTTAGCAATGTTTTCCATTATTATAATGTATCTACTGTTCTTTATGCTTTCCACCACCTCCTGGCTGCACTACAATCCCTGGGCAGAACGCCTGCAGAGCCTAGGAAACTCTAGCTTGTACAGAATACTCCATACGTCTCTTCAGCAGCGCATGCTGCTGTGAATGAGTGCAGTTCATGAAGTCTGTTTTCTGCTTTCTACACCGTGTTCCTTTAGACTTTGTAATTATACTGGTCTTTGTTTTGAAGATATTTTTCTTGTCTGGCACAGCAAAGTCCCATCAGCTGAAGTGGAAGGGAGATGGAACTTGCTGGGTCAGTGACTGTGAACTCCTTCCAGGTTCAAAGGACCACTGCAAATGTTACCACATTCCATCGCAAGCACAAGACACATTTTTTTGACTCTGCCTTTTGTGAAATAAATACGCAAGTTGTATGTTTGGACAAGTTAACAAACTTTCCCGAGCTAAATCACTCCATACTTCATCCCCTAGAATGAAACTCTTCTCTAAATGCACTTTCACCTCTAGGAAAGAGGCAAAGGTGGTTGTTGTGGCAGGCGTTAGTTACATTGCTTAATGGAGTACAAGTAGTCAATGGGTTGATAATGTGGTGATGGGCAGGGTATGACAGTGTGTATAAAACAGCGTGGTACAGCAGGGTTAAACCCTGCAAAGTCATAGTTTGGGTCCCCACAGAGGAATGCAGCACCATTGCTCTGAAGACAGAGTAGTTCTGGATCCCTGGCCTGTAGGCTGCTTTTGTCTGGGATAAACTATCTGTGGTGCCACTCACTTGAAGTAATTCTGCAATGAAAGTATTCTCCAGACTGCTCCACTTCTGCTCCACTTAGCAGTGAACAACTTAATAACAATATCCTGGCTATTTCATACCTTTGTAGATAGGAGTGACAGACAACCCATTTACTCTATCTTAATTCAAATTCAGGGCAACAATCAAAAAATTAGTCTTAAAGTCTTAAAGAAAACTATGCAGTCATTTCAGGTGTGAAAAGAGTTTAATCTTTAGGTCTATTTCCCTGAGGATTGACCTTATATGTTAAAAAAAACACTGTTTGTAATTATAAAATAAGTGATAAGCATCAAATGAATTGTTACAGAACCCTTTTGTTCACTTTATTCCATGATAAGGAGCAGTTCCTGTGTGACCTTGAATATGGCCAAATAACTCATGCTAAATGCATTGCTACAAAGATGGCAGTTTGGCAGGGCTTTGATGTAGGTCATTTTATTACCAGACTGAATCAAAATACAAACTGATCTTCAGCTGATGCCAAGAATGCTAATAATAAACTGATCAATGAGGTGCTGGATTGTTCAAGAGAATTGGTCAAGGGAAAAGGCAGGCATAAGAAGTCTGGAATTCCAAAGGCTGAACTGCTCAGGCTATTATACTGGGAGGAATTATATTCCTTGCATTAGTACCAGTTTTCTTTACTCCAGGGTCCTTTAGCTGAGTGTTGAACAGGACAATGTCAGAAAGTATATACTTATCTTTATTTTTCTTGACCTTTATGTGCAAGTAATTTTTATAGTTCCATTAACTAGTAAGATCATTTGCAAACCACTGTACAAAGTATATTATGAAGAATGCCTTGGGGACCATTGTATCCTATTATGTTGAATGTTAATAGAATGAAAAATTAATTTAAACTCTAAAGATTAGAGCAAGGCAAGACTTCCCTTTTATAGGGAAAATTCAAAATTTTATTTGCTATGGTAAAACTTTAAAGTTGTACCCTAATATGACCTTTATAGGCCTGATTCAAGTCAGACAGTGCAGGAGTCAGGTTACTTGCCTCTTTGAATAAAATGGCTTATATCAAAACTTCCCCTTTTAAAAAAAGGAGAATTTCTGTGACCCCCACATATGGGATTATTCTTGTGTAATTTCATAGCTTTAAATGACTGTATGCCAGTGAATTCATAGCTGCTTGTTTAGCAAGATAATAAACCAGAGATGAGAGACCCCGCAGTTCCAAGGAGTGTCTTTACCTTACTTGACTCTTTAATTGCCCATGAAACATTGCCATCTTCAGCTAGGCAGGACTACAAAACACCTAAAAACAAGAATGCAGTTCTCTGTAGTACTTTTTTGTATTTCGCATTATCACTGATTGCTTTAGAATGAGGAATACTATCTTGAGTCTTGCTTGTAGGTCTTACACAGAACTCTTCCCAAGGGACTGGAGTGCTACTACAGAAGTCAGCACTTCCGTCCATAGACAAGTGATTAAGTAAACTTTATTAGCTTAATTAGTCATTATTATTTCATATTTACATTAACATAGTTAAGGTGTGATATGTTTGTGTGGCTAAATCAACTAAATTCAGACCAGTAATGAGCAAGAGTTTTGTTACCTGAAAGAGCAAAGAAATAGTCCACCATCAACCTTCTTGCTCACAAATTATGCCTTGACCTGGGAACCTGGCCTAGTTAAAAGGATAAAAAAGTTGCATGTTTTACATGTAAGAATGATTTATTATTGTAAATGTCCGTACAGGGAACCGAAAAATTTCAGTTTCAATTTTCATACCTCTTATAAAACTTATGTGTAAGAGTTACATTAATGAGAATTGTATTCTTAGATAAAGCTATACAGGGCAGAATTTTCAAAGTATCCCTATCCCATCATACTGTATGTCTTTTAGTACACTGTACTTGTAAATTTGTGACTGTTCCATATGTGGACTTCTTAGCATACATAACCAGCCATTTTTAAATTATTGCATGAAGGCGTGTATTTCTTTATTGCAAAGTGCCGTTTTCCTAATACCCTGTCTTGAATTTCACCTTATAGCTGTAGACTAGGATGCCTCACTGTCTTCAGAAACCCTAACTCAAGTGAAATAAATGCACAAAAGATTAGGACAATTAGTGACTAGAGAATTAGCTATCAATATTTCATGCTCCCTGAAATACTGTCTAAACACAAGATATGAAATAAGAATAAATTGCACTTTTGACAAGCAGCAAACCTAGAAGGGAAATGACTAATCTAGAAAGAGCTTACAGTCGTTATAGTGAGGCAATATTCTAATCACTGGTCACGTGTGATTTGATGGATAAAGAGTAGGAAGATTCGTCCCATAGGATTATTCAAAGTTCACTTGTGATTTGAAGTTGGATTTAAATATATTGTGAATAACTTAGTGGTTTGGTCTGCAATGACCCAAACACAGAATAGACAGCAAATTGTTTCCATCAGCTTTGGTGCCAGCTTGAGTGCTGATTCAAGATGTGATCCAATCTAGTAATCCAAACAATGTCAAATACAGCA